AGGTTAAATAAAACTAAGCATATTTGTCTTGTCCTTTATCACACATTCAAAAATGGTGTTCCACAATTCTGTCCCGTGCAGCTCTGCCACTAGGTTGGTCCAAGTGCACAGACTCGTGGTCATCATAAGGCTGCACTTGCACCACAGGGGTCCTCTCCTTTCTGATAGTGGCAATGTTAAGCAAAAAGACAGCAAGTCCAGGATGAGCGTCAAAGCACCAAACAATCAAAAATCAAGCCAAATTGCCAACAATCAAATCCCCTGGTGTTCGTTTCCTTTGGGATGTTAGTTTTGGAGTTTCATAAACCTTTGTATATAATGAATAATTAGTGTGTGTCTGATGGGTTCAGACCCTACATTGCTTAGCTCCTTTTTTAATGGTGACAAGGTTTCATAGATGTCCTTATTAATGGCACTTGTACTTGCTTTCTTATAGATCTCAAGAGTCAGTCATGATGCTTCCCCTTCATATCACTTAGAAAATAATGAACTGTGCCAGAACAGTCTCGTTTAAAGCCTTGTGTGCTATTAAACACATTTGCTGTGTCAGATCCCCTCTAGCTTCATCTTATTGGTAGAGATGGTCTCTTAGAGCAATCACATTTTTGGTGAGTGGGGATGTCATCTTCTTTATTCCATTTTTTTCTTGTATGGTCTGGACACTCTAAACTGTTCCTCCAGTTTTTCTAAAAACGTTTAAAGAATATTTTTGCTTTCTTCTCTGCCAGATCATCATCATTCATAAGAGCCTGATTGCCCCTTTACGACAGAATCTAATTTTGACTGCTGTTGAAGGTTTTCCATATTCATTTTTGCCTGGACTAAACTGTGTAAGACGCTTGGCAATATTGACGACAAGCTGAAATTTGGAAGGTGTACATAAATCTTCAAGACCATTGAAAGTCTTGTCCATATCTTTTGCAAATAACATGAATCGGCCCAATTCCCTCACCCTCTGAGCAATATACTGGTCCCTTTACTTGACACGTCCATGTTTGGCATACAGTGATTCACAATATTTGCATCAGTGAATCCCTTTTGATGTGAAACAACACATCATCTTGTTTTTATGTTGTCTCCCTCGTGTACTTTTTATGTCATCTTTCACACATGATTTGTTGGTTTTGCATGAGGACTGATGTCGCCACAGGTCATTTTTCCAAAACAATACGAGCAAGGCAAATAAGGTTTAACATCAGCTTTATCAGAGGGCTGCTTCCATGTCAATATTTGTCCTATGCCTTTTTCCAGAACTTCTGCAAAGTCCACTTTATTGCGCAATTGTTCCAAAAGAATCTTTCTTTCTTTTGATCGTAATGGAAAGCTGAAGGCATATGCCACATCTTTGATTTCGGAATGGTTCCTTTACAAATGCCTTGATGTCTTTGATTGTGCTTGACTACAGTAGAGGCAATAATGGTTTGTGTCCCATACTCGTTTACAGTCTTCCCTTTTTGTACTCAGTTCTAAAAGCTGAAAGACTTTTAGCTCACAGTTGATTCGCTGTTATTTGTATTGTTTATATTGTGTTGTTTGTTGTGTCTTTTAACATAAGTTATGGGGGTTCTTTTATTTTTTAATGGTGCACTTGCATCATGTTCACTCAAACTGCCTGAACCTTCATGTTCTTCATCACTGGACAGACTCTTACATGATGATGCACCTCCGTCAGGGTTTAAATCTTCACTGTACGATGATGCACTCTTGTAATTTGGGTTGTAATCTGGGTCTAGCCCAGCACAGCTGGATACTTCAGATTCACTCTCTGGCTCCTCATGAACATCTTTTTGAAGATGGACTATCTGAATTACTGATACTAAATGAAGTCCATTATAAATGTATATTATAACAGTACATTACTAAAATGGGCATATGACATTATAGTTTAATTTGCAGACAGTTTAGAAAACTGAAGCAACACTTTGTACTGCCGACACACGCTATTCACGTTCGATTCACTCGGTTGTGCCAAAACTTCCGGTGGGCGCTTCTTCGTTGGTCTTCAGCGGTTTCTTCTTCCGGTCGGCGGATTGTGAATTGAAACTAGGAATCAAAATGGAAACTTTTGAACGATTCCGGCAAAATCACAAATCTAGTCCCGGTTCCAATTGATACTCTACACCCAAGCCTAGACATGACCCTACCAAATTTGAGTACATTCGTCAAAAACTCTTCACAGACTCATTTAGAGCGGTCCAGAGGGTGTCTGGCTATGACGACAAGAGTCACTGCTACCAATGTCCAAGCCTTGCACTGAAACTTGGCCATTTTTTGAATAAGATTTGTGAAATAATTCACTGCAGATAACTGATGTCCAAGCTCTACAGAACTAGCCAAAGCAACGCTCGCCAAAATCATTGTTTTCAATCGTCGATGTGCAGGAGAGGTCCCTAAAATGCCGCTCAAAGGCTTCAAAGAAATGGACAGCACTTCGCTCCATGATTATGTTGCCATGGGCCTGAGAAAGTTTGAACAGAAACTCTGCAGCCGTTTTAGTCGAGTTGAGATCAGGGGGAAAAGAGAAGAAAGGTTGCGGTTCTTCTCTCACCTGCTATGGTTGATGCTCTGACACTGCTGGTCAGCAAGAGAAGTGAATGTGGAGTGCTGGACACTAATGAGTTCTTGTTTGCCAGAACCAATTGCCAGAGACACTACAGAGGCTCTGTTAGGGTCTATGCAAGTGAATGTGGAACTCAAAATCCAGAGTTTCAAAGATCAACTCATCTGCACAAACATGTAGCTACTCTCTTCCCAATCCTAAACCTGATAATCACTGAATTGGATCAGGTTGCAGATCTCTTAGGGCATGATATCCGCATCCATCAAGACTATTACAGACTGCCTGAAGCCTCTACTCAGCTGGCTAAAATATACAAGTTACTGCTAGCCATGGAAAAGGGCCGTCTATTTTTCACATCAGACAAGTTAGAAGAAAAAAAAACTTGCTTTTACAATTTACATTGATGACTGATGCCACTCAGTTGACCACAGACACGGTCAATTTAAGATTTATAACTATAGCAGTTAAGTGAACTACCCATTTTGATATGCAGTATGAAAGCCATAATGTGCAAACAATACTAACTACAAAATTACAAATCAGTTGAAATTAAATTTTTCATAATGCAAATTTGCATGCTATTTTTCATCAAATTTAAGGACTGACTGACTGTCGACTGCAATATATATATATAATCAGGCAAACAAGCCTGACTAACTGTGGATTGATGAACTGCTCACATTTACAGAATTCAGCGCTTAATAACCTCCCAAAATACAGTTTGAATTTACCACCGGATCCAACTCATAATCCTTTAAGTTCATTATTTCACAAAGAGTCGCTATGTGCTTTCTCAGTTAAGTGTAAGTCAGGTTCTCAGGATGTTTTGCATCACACCAATGTGTAGATTTTCTGACAGTCGGAACCTACTCTAACCTCTACCTAACCTCTCGGTATTCTCTGTGCAGAGATTGTCGGAAACGGAACGCCCATCACCTTAAATGGGTTATGGTTTATTATTGAAAACTACCGTGAACAGTATATGAACAGACATGGCATTGCCGCATCAATTCGAACCAGAATACGAAGAGGAACCGTCGGCGTTCAGAGATGAACCAGAAACACAAACACGACTGGAGCAGGAGCTTTCCCAATGGTAAGTGTCAATGTACAGTTGTGGCAATTCAGGTCATAATTGATTAATGATAATCAATGACATGACATAATTGATAATAATGTCTGATAAATGACGATCTGTAATCAGAGTAATTTTGATGTCGTTCAGTGTAACGTAAGTATCAAGACGAATTAATTAGCGATTTTTTTTAGGTGCTCATGTGAGTAATATTCTTTATGACAACTCCATTAACAACGACAAACACTTCACATATTTCAATACAATTGACATTGAAGACCTAGAAGCTGCGCGCTGTGCATACAACACACCAAATAATTATTGAGCATGATACATAAAACATAAAAGCAACAATTAATTTTAATAATACTTACAGGTTGTGATTCTGAGAAGGAAGCTGATCCAAATAATCTCGGTACTGATCCTTCCTTCAGTATCAGCCGGCTCGCGAATCCATAAGTTACTTTATAGCGTTTAGGTTTGTGAAGCAATCATCTTCAAAATGACGCGAACACAGAACAAGGTTTGGGCTATACTTGTGTGGTATACTTGTATATATGAACTGTAGCCTTAGTCTTAGTCTTCAAATGCTCCACACTTGGCAGATGAAAAAAGTTCGCTTTTGCGACGCACTTCAAAACACAGCGTTTCGTCGACATGATTGTTTTCCGGTTTTCCCTGGCGTCTCCGAGCGCAATAAGTGGGCGTTTCTTATTCAAATAACTTGTCAAGTTGACGGCAACTAGACAAAGGAAAAGCATCGTTCTTCGAACGATTCATATCAGCGACTCAGAGTCGACTCTTACTTTTGAGAGACAATAACTTTGTATACGGTGAACTTTCATGTTTAAAACTTTGCAGGATGATTTCATTCACTTAGATCTATGTTACACACTACATGAAGGGCAATTTTCAAAAATCCATAATAGGTACCCTTTAAGCAGCTCCGTCTTACAAACTGCCTGCTGGATAGTATCCCTGCCCGATTACTCAAGGATGTTTTTAACATTGTTGGTTCCAGTATTTTCAGCTTGGTTAACGCATCTCTCAGCTCAGGATGTCTTCCCGTAGCTTTTAAACATGCAATTGTCCAACCCCTCTTAAAAAAGGAACATCTGGATTTTAATTTTTTTTTCTAATTTTAGACCCATTTCTAACCTCCCATTTTTATCTAAAGTCTTGGAGAAGGTAGTTTTTAATAAACTGCAATCTTTCCTAGATGCTTTTTCCATTTATAAAAAGTTCGAGTCTGGTTTTAAATCCAGCCACAGTACCAGTGTTGCCAACTTAGCGACTTTGTCGCTATATTTAGCGAGTATTCAGACCCCTCTAGTGCCAATTTTTCAAAAAAGCGACTAGCGACAAATCTAACAACTTTTTCTGTTGTTATTAGAGACTTTTGGAGACTTTCTGGCATGAAAGCACATATCGTTTTTACTCTTCTCAATGAGTAGCGGGTGCTGCCGTGGGTCCCACCCCGTCCCAAATCACTCACAGGTGGCCCAGTCCTCGCGCAGCAGCCCCTCCCAGCTGTAGACAGAGCAGGAGATGTTCACTCCTCCACGTAAAGACTGCAAAAGAATCGCGCAAATGAGTTTTAGCTATTTTAGCGACTTTTCAGACCCTGCCGTCATCCCAAACGTCTCCCCAATGAAATCGGCTTGACAATGATGGCCAATGAGGGTCGCCAGGTTCCTGAGATCATTAAACTGCTGGACTGGGTGGACAACACAGACCACTACTTCGTGGTCATGGAACGGTCCTTTCCTTGCATGGACTTGTCTAGTTTCATGAAGCTCCATGGGGGGATCCTCGATGAGCAGACTGCACGACATGTTATGCGCCAGGTCATTCATGCTGCTCAAATTTCCTGCAAGCGTGGTGTCCTCCATCTCGACATTAAACTGGAGAACTTGCTGGTGAACCACAAAACCATGGAGGTCAAGTTGACTGACTTTGGGTGCGGTGCACTCATGAAGAAGACTGCCTTCAAAGTCTTCAGTGGTATGTGTTATGAACTGCTTTGTTCATTAGCTCACATGAACGCATCCTATGTACAGACAACATGCTGTGGAAATGTATTAAATATCAGACATAATCTTTTTCCTTCAGGCACAGAGCTGTAGTGTCCCCCAGAGGTCTATTTCTACGGCAGGTACTACGCAAAGCCGACGACAGTGTGGTCTCTAAGCATTCTCCTGTTTGCAATGGTGTGCAGAGCTTGCCGTCACTCACTCTAGTTACGTCTACCCTGTTCAGTGAATGAGAGGAGCAGCTTATCTGTTGAGTGCACGGCCACTGACAGACGTGAATGAGCAGTGTTTTTCCACGGACCCATCACTTATCTGCTTTCTTTAAATAATAATGTTTTTTTTATTTCATTATTTTAGTTTCCTTTCTTTTCTTGTGCTTACAGTATTATTATTTTTTTATCAGTCACTAGGCCAGCATCAGTTTTACTCGTTCTATTGTGTGACAAAAAATATGTCAGAAATGAGAACGGCTTTATTTTACATGCGGCTATATTATCAAAACCGTTTCCTTCACCTCACAAAAGAATTAGTTATAAATCTGTTTTTATAGGGTGGGTTTCACTAACTATATGTTATTTGAGGTAGACAAGAAATGCTTTTTACCAATCTGTGACATGCAAAACAATAATAAACAGATACTTTGCATTCATTGCATTTTTCTTTTAACTTTTGAATGATGATAACACGAAGGAGTCGATGCCAAAGATAATCACGTCGAAAGCTCATTGATCAATATCTCAAACTCAACGTCCAGGAAATCTCAGAACAAAGAAAACAAATTCCACATCTTCCCAGTGTCCATCTTATTGTTGATCCAAAATCACATAGATGATGTAATACAGCTTCATAATCCACAACTGTGCAGGTATAATCCAATTTCAGGATCAATCGAAGTAAGACATATGACTTTCCAAACTCACTTCATGTAGTTTCAAACACACTCAGTCAGGCATAAGCAACAGAAGGACAAAACCCCCAGAATGTTAAGCCCTTTTCCAATTGAGCATAAAACAGTTAGATTCCCAATCAGGACCTTTGATCATTTGAATTCATAAGACATGCTTACTCCTCCATTACCCATCTGCTTCTTCTACTCTCTCCACCTGTTTTATGCCTGATAGTATTAGCCCTTGGTGCCCCCTCAAGGTGTGTAGTACAATTACAACCCCAAACAAAAAAAAAAAAAAAAAACATGTACACAGATTTGACTGTTACATTATATTATAATATATAAAATACAGTATGTGAGCTGAGCATTCATTTATAGAGAAAACACATTAGGCAAACAGAACGCAAGTATGATGCGATGACATAACAAAAATGCTAATTAACGTATGACGTCATCTAGCGACTTTTAGGGAAGGCGTTAGCTACTTTCATTTGAAAATAGTTGGCAACACTGCACAGTACTGAAAACGCCCTTCTAAGAGTATACAACGATCTTCTTTTATCAGTTGATTCAGTTTTACTGTCCACCTTGGAAATCGCTCTTCATTTACTGCACCTCTTTCTTGTGGGGTTCCCCAAGGTTCCATTCTGGGAACCATGCTCTTTTCCCTGTATATGCTGCCCTTAGGGTCCATTTTTAAAAAACATAACATTTCTTTCCACTGTTTTGCAGATGATGTGCAAATTTATTTGCCTGTAAAAACAATGAGAACAACATCCAACCTTTGTTAGATTAGTTGGTGCATGAACAGTATCTGCAAAGTTGCAGTGCTGAAAGTTCAGTGTAAGCAGAGTCTTTTAAAAATCAGGAAGTATATTGCCTACAAAAACGACTTGATTGGTACTACAGCTGGGTTTTAGACGTCACTAACCCACACATTTCCATCAAATCTCCCTCCGGAAAATGCAAAAAAGGGCATGCGCATATTTCAGCAGCTCCAGCTCGTCGAGTGTGTTGTTCACGCAGCTGTCAGATCTTCTGTGTTTGAGCTTCCCACGGACGCTGTACTTCATCAACAATGGATACAATTTATGTTTGATTATGTTCCTGAAAATGACGATCGTAATTTAGCTCTCTGTGCTGCGCATTTTACGGAAGACAGCTTCCAGAATCTCCACGAGTTCAACACCGGATTCAACAAGAAACTGTTACTAAAACATGAAGCAGTTCCAACTTTAAAACCAGAGGCAGCAGTTGTTGGGCCACAACCTGTAAGTAGGCTAAGACTTCATCATTTTACATGTATTGGCATGTATAATTCCAGACGTAGCCTTGTGATTTATTTTTTTCAAATGCCAGCGCTGGCTTTATTGCCACTAGGCTACTAGTATGCTATTTTGTGTCTACGACAAACACGTACAAACATGAATTTTGTATAACTACTAATGTTGTAAATGTATTTTTCATGTATATATGTTTTATGATGTTATTTTCGATTTGATTAAGAACATAAACTTGCCAACGCTGTTTATCACATTAGTAGCCAGTCCCCAGATAGCAAACTGACATTGAATCAACGTGGAAATATGACATCGAAACAACGTTGATCTGACATTGTTTTACTCATCGAATTAACGTTGAACCAACGTCAGATGCGTCATTCTTTCAAAACTAACGGAAAATCAACTTGAAATCAACGCGTTGTTTCAACGTTATGAAAGCAAACCAATTTTCGATTTTCATTTAGCTTTGAAGAATGCCGCGTCTGACGTTGGTTCAACGTTAATTCGATGAGCAAATCAACGTTGTTTCAATGTCATGAGAGACGTCGTTTCCACGTTGATTCAATGTCAGTTTGCTGTCTGGGTCAGTAGCTATTGTTGCCAGTCAGATGCTATTGTGTTAAACAAACGTGTATAAAGTTAAAAAAATTAGCAAATTATCATTCAGTTTAGTAAGAGCCGTGTGTGGTGAGGTTCTGCTTGACTCTCTTCATCGCCGCTTTCTCGGTCTTCTGCCTCAAACTGATACTGCAGTTCGACACATATTTACATCTGGACCGGAGCTCACGACATGCACGTTTCGCCCGTAAAGGTAATGGATGTTAACCTTCCAGACAACGTGAGCGACAGTTTAGCCAATCACAACACACCGGGCCAAGCTAACCAATCTGAGCCCACTGCTCGTTTCTGAGGGAATGGTTTCATAGACTCAGAAAGTGAACCGCTCGTTCGAGGACAGAGGAGAGTGCGGCTGAAAATAAAGGTGAAGTTTATGAAAAATAAGACTTTTTAATAAAGAAAAACCACGAATACATGTTATATTGCACCCCATAAATACAATCATGCAAAGAAAAAAAACAGTCAACCCCCCTTTAAGCTAATTCTTGTTTAAGCTGTTTGAACTGAAAGCAACTTGCACTGGCAAATCCATATCAGTGCCATTTTTTTTTGTCTCAAGATGCACTAGTTTTTTTTAATGTTTTTTTTTTCAATGGCACGTTTTTTAAAGGTACTTAAAGGAACATGCCGACTTTTGGGGACTTTAGCTTATTCACCGTATCCCCCAGAGTTAGATAAATCCATCCATACCTTTTTCATCTCCGTGCGTGGCGCTGTATCTCTGTCTGACACACCCACTGCTAGCCTAACTTAGCACGAAGACTGGAAGTAAATGGCTCCAGCAAGCATACTGCGCCTAATCATTGACAAATTTGACAAAACATTTTCCTATTTATATGTTGTGATTTTTGTATAGTCACAGTGTGTACAAATAACAAGGTCATATTGTTGACTATCTAGGTAGTAGTGAACGTGACAGGTAATCATGGCTGACTTTGAGGAATTGTCAGAGGATTTTTACTTGGTATCAAACCAAGATCCAGAACCAAATAGTTTTGAGCCTGAATACACAGACGAGGAGTTACAAACTTTGGAAGCTGATAGACAAGATGCCGAACACACTGAGGTCGAGGGGAGAATCAGAATGAACAAAATGGTGGTGTAAATGTGGAACATGCCAACCTATGGTGACAGAACCAAGTGCCTTTGATGTAGTGAATGGGACCAGGTATTATCATCGATGGCAATGAAAATCTTTGCGTCACTACCACAGAGGATTTCTCGGACCTAATACACCCGGCAGTTGTCAATTGTTTTTCCCGTTGTGACAAGATCATCTGGGAGAAATGCCCTATGCCGAGTGCACCTAAAGACTCCAGTCTTTTTGGTAAGCCAGGCTAGCGTTCAGAGCGTCAGAACGAGTTAAAGTCCCAAAAAGTCTGTGTGTTCCTTTAAATATCCTAATTGAACTAAGGCCTAATCCTGGCTTAGTCCTAGACCTCTCTATGAAACCAGGCCGTAAAGGGATACATCATCAACAATGAAAATTCACTAATTTACTTACCTCAGGCCAAGAGGCATATGACTTACTTTTTTTTCAGATGAACAAAGTTTTTTGAAAAATAATCTTTCTCTTTGAATCCATATAAACTGTACGAGTTGATGATTGAAAAACCAATGAATTCAAGTGAATTCGAGAAGTGAATATATGCATGATAGTTGGACGGAAGTTATGGTTTAAAGTTTAAAATTTTTTAGTTTTGCGTTTGAAGACATTGATTCATGAACTGTTTTTTGAAGCGTCAACTACTGAGAAATGGACTCAGTATTTTTATTTTTCTAAAAATCGTAATTCATGTTGGTCAGGCTGTGATGGGGTAAGGCTAGCTCTTCTTTAGCCTACTGAGTAAACAGCTTTGGTGTGCCTGGTGCTGTGAAGGTGATGGATAGGTGCAGAATATTATTCACAGAAGGTTCATGCCTGAAGACAGTCCACACCCTGGTCAAAGGGGGTTGATGTAGCTTTGAATACAATTTTTCTGAATATATTGAAATTGAATAATTACACATTGACAATTTAAAACGTAACCTATTTTCAGCTCTTTTTCTTTTAGTTTATGGAAGTACAGGAATAAACACTGTTGTTTTGAACAATTTTGTATTTTTAAATTTTTGTATTTATATTTGTTGTGTAAAATTTCTGTGAAAATTTTCAAAGAAGAAGGTTAGATTACATCAAATCAGTCATAGGTGAATTATAAGTACGCATATACAAATGCATTGTTGTTACTTTACAAGGTAATGGGTTTCCTCAATTTTTGCAAGTAGACAATTCTGATAAACTTGTTAAGTAGATTGACATTCAAGTAATTGCAATTTAATTAAATTAAGTTAGTCCAAATTAAAATAACAAACATATTTTCAACTGGTAGGCAGGTGAGAAATAGCAGCTTCTGGAATGAAAAAAGGTTAAACACTCTCAAAATGTATTGGATTAAATATTCCCTTCATATTTAAATCAAAGCCCAAATGTACCAAAATTAAAACCATTAAGACTAAAAATAAAGAATTAAAAAGGATTTAATTCTCATGAATTAAAAAATGTAATCTATTTTTATACATTTTTATGCAAGAAGTGTTCACTGCAGAAAGTGAAAGTCTCATTATCCCCATGAACCTTAAGAAATTAAAAAATGAGCTATTTAAATTCAAACGTGTTTTATATTAGGGCTGGGTATCGATTCACATGTTCAATTCGATTTCGATTCGCAAGCTCTCAGTTCGATTCGATTTTCGATTCTCGATTCCTGATTTGATTCTCGATTCGACTATAATGAATATGGATGTAATACAAATCCTATATTTATATATATATAAAAAAGAACAGGATATAAATGTACTA